AGACGACCATCCCGAAACGAGAATGACGTAAGACCATGTCCGAAGGCAGCAAATGGGCGATTCTGGAGACAGAACATCCCAAAGACAGTCGATGAGAACGTCTGGAACAACAAGCTGCTGACATAGTGGCATCGATAATCCACGATCCTGAATAAAGCTGAAGTACTCCGAAGAGAAGCGCGGTGGAAATTGCGCAACTGTGAAGACTTCTTTAGTGACAAGTTCGACTACGAGCTTGCTAAGCAGGTCAACCAGTGTAAGTTGCTCGATACCAGATACTTTCGTGGTGGGTTGACCACCAAACGCGATAAGGGCACGAGGTGTTTGTTTGAGCCCTTTTGACTAAGCGGTCCGCTACGCCAGCTGCTATGAAACTTCTGTGCTGCGGAGTCGGGAAAGAGGATGACGTCTTCGACTGCACGGAGGCACTGTTATACTCTTTACCTTTCACGAGCATGAGCGACATGAATGTATTCTGCGAAGCGAAAATATTGTTGGAAGGCGCAGTATGAAGTAATTAAACTAAGTCCGCTTCGTCCTCATACTCGAGAGCCTGATTCTGTTGCAGATAGCGGGTTTGGAGAACTACGACGTTTGTGTAGAGAAGGGCTCTCTCTTACGGGTGAGCTGAACGTAACTCGATGTGGGGATTGTGACCGAGAAGGAGAAGGAGTACAGCCGACTCGTGTTGCTCGCAAGGGTATGATGGAGGCCTGCCACTTCGTGACGAGCTGCGTGCTTGTCGATGTTGTCTGGACGGACTACGCGAGGAGTAACGACGTGGTGAACGATGACGATGGCGACGTGGTGAACGATGACGATGGTAATTGTCGTCGGTACGATCTCTCCTTGACTGTCGGCGAACTGGCGTAGACTGACGACAAAGAAGCTCGTGGTGATCTCCTTTGCATGTACGACAAGATGGATAACTACATGCGCGAGACGAGTGGTCTTCTCGCAAGCATTTCCAACAGAGATTACGGGCTCTTACAAGAGTACGACGTACTACGACTGGGACATCCAATGGGCACCGTGTTGAGCGGTGGTCCACGGATTCGCAGAAGCAGCACTGAGGCGAATTGTAAGAGTGTCGCGAGCGTGACGGTGAGCGCGATGGAGAGCGCTGCGAATTGGCTGTGTGTACGGTAAAACTAGTTGTTAATGTGGTAGAGTCCTCATATTTTTCCGTGGATGCGATGATGTTATCTAGCTTTTGCATGACTTGATCGAGATCGAAATCCGAATTGGTTTGGAACTCGAGGTCATGTAGCTTACGCTGGATTTCCGACGGGAATTTGCTCTTGACTAAGTCAAGAAGCGGCAACACCGTACGGAAGTCTTCGTATTTTCGCAATCCATGGAGGATACCGGATATACGAAACCAGGTATTACGCAGGTCCTGACCGATGTTACGAGCTACGGGGAGTTGTTGGAGCTGCCTGTGCAGAGTCGCACGCGTCTTGTACGGACGATCGTAGCGCCTCTTCAAGGCCTCCACCAACTGAGAATAATTACACTCGTCGGGGTCAAGATCCTGTAGTACTACCTGTGCTTCGCCCTGTAATAAACTTTGCAAATATAGGAATTTGTAAACCGATGGTGTATTTGGGTCATTGTGCACTGCAAGCTCGAAAGCACACCAAAACCGATGAAATTTGGTAATATCCCCTGTAAACGGTTCCAACACAAGCTTGCCGAGTTGGACTGCGGGCTGCGCTGATGGTGTTGAAAGGAGGGGTGCACTTGATGTTGAAGGGTGGAATTGCGTGCAATACGGTAATGGGTTTGGTGCGCTGGTGTTTCGCTGCGGTAGCACAAAGGGTCGGAGAATGTTATTCGCTGTAGATGTAGTTGCCGAGTGTTCCCGTAGATCTTCTTGAGTACGTTCGGGCACACTTTGTGGTGTATCTGAAAGCATAGCATGCTGATTACGGTCTATGAGCGCATGAACTTCTTCTAAACGTGCGCTAAGAGATGTTACAATTGATTCAGCTGCTAAAATGGCATCATCTACGCGAGAGTCATAATCATAAGATTCATACGCATCACTATCCGCGTCCTGTCCGTCGGAGCACTTCACTAGATCTAAAAGTGCTTGACGCCTTTCTGTGAGCGTTTGTAATGATGTACGCACCTGAGTTAGATAACGCTGTACTGTACCTTGATATGCCTCAAGACCTCGCAATGAGCCTATAGCCTGCGCATCTACTGGTTGGAATAGAGATGCGGGGATCTTACCTTTAATGGCTTCCCATGCGGTGATGGCTTTGGTCACGTTGGCTTTGCTGGCGCTGACACTAGACATTTTGCAAAAGGCAGGAGGTAGTTACTGCCGTACCCAATCTAAAACTGGTAAGGTTGAGTATGTGTTGAGCCGTAAGGTAGCTGTGGCCAGCAGCTCCCTACGGTGGGTGACGGTTATGCGGTACGCGATGCTGGCTAGGCGGTACACCGAGTGAATAACGACGAGATGGTAAAACACGCAACAACCATAGTACGGACGTGCAGGAACAACATAAGAGACATGTAGTGCGAAGATGGTATTTTACGTCTTACGGGGCAGCGGCACACACC